AGTGCATACCTATCCCATAGAAAATCTGTAGCTGAAACCCTGGGATGTGTCCATGCATTTCTATTTGAATTACATTTTTTATAGCTGTGTCAAACAGTGATAATGTGGCTCCGTCATTATTAACAAATTGCCAGTCTGCTTTTCAGTTAAAGGAGCTGCTGTCCTTATCCTGCTTTCTTACCCTTTGCTTACAAGGTACCAGTTCTTGTTCAGGTTCAAATTTAAGTCTTGGTTGCCAAGGTTGTGTGGCTTGTTTTGAGCTAACTAGGATTATCTTAAATCTAGGGAGTCTTTTGTTGCTGAACATATTTTTGTTAATAATCTGGTATTTGGACATCTGCTTGAAAGCGTCTTGGACGACATTGTGTACCCAGGTATGTGGAATGACTGTAGGGGGAAAAGGGGCAAGGAGGAGCTTCAGGAGCTTCTGTTCCCTTGTGTGTATTCCCTTGTATGCTTTGGGTTTCTGCATGGCCTCCAAGTGTTTCAGTGTCAAGTCCCACTTCACCTCCCTGCCATGGCCCACAGCCAGGTTGCTCCCTCTGCTTTCCTCATGACCCGAGCTGCTGGGGCCTCAGTTCTGATCGTGCTCCAACATAATCGTGTCAATCAAAGTCTATCCTGTTGTTTGGTTTTGTGGAGTTTTTTGTGTTGTTTTGTTTGTTCTGTGTGTGGTTTTTTTTTTCCTTTTAATCTTCCTCATTTGAACTGATCAAAATGCAGACACCACTCTGAAAGGTATGCGATAGCCTGGAGACTCCTTAAGTAACAGCTGTGTGTGTTCATCTCATGTTGCTGTGCTGCATCCCAAACCTGTACAGAGCTGAGCAAGACTTTACAATCATAGAAGATAATGAAAGTATTTGGGTAAATGAATTAGACACCAAAACTGTTTTTCTAAGATTCAGAGATTTTTCTCTTAATCTTGTGAAGATCTTCATATTCCCACAAAAAACTGGACACAATGTGGTTCTTGTTGTGGGAGTGCTGATGGTCTGGGTCCAGTTTATGAGACAGATGAGTGCTTTGAAAGCTGCTGCTATGTCCTCCTACTATGAAAGATTTGCTCTCACTTGACTCTGGGAACTGTTTGACAGAAGAGCCTCCAAATTGTCAGCTAAATCACAGCAGTGAAAAGCTGAGGCCACTTAAAATGCTGTAAATTATATGTATATAAATAGAGGAACAGAGCCAAGGTTTTTGGCAGGTGTGGAGATCTGCACTTAACTGCAGAAAATGAAGAGCATCCTTGTAGCAGTCAAAGTGGTTATGGCTTCTGAACAGTTTAGCTGCTGCTTGAAGCCCTGCTGAATTTACCGGGAAGAGGAAAGTCACGGAACTCTTCAAAATCCTTTTCTACCTCAGTTGTGGTTAGAGCAAGGCTACAAAGTGCTCTTGTAGCAGCTGCTGCATAGCAGCGAAGTACAGCTTTTTGGGGGTTAGGAGAATGTAGGAGAGAAATAGCTGCCATGGGTATTTAATTAAGTGCTGTGAGGCAGCATGCACAGAGCTCTGCCTTGGTTTGAATGAGGAGCCAGTCAGGAGCTTATCAGGATTAATCAGGACCACCAATGTGGGAGACATCGTGGAAGATGTCTGCTGTGGGCCACCTGCTCAGGAAGAAAAGGCCTTCTTCAGACAACTGTAAGAAGCCTCACATTTGCAGGCCCTTGTCTTCATGGTGGGGTTTCAGTCATATCAATGTCTGCTGGAGGGACAGCACAGGAGAGCACAAATCGCTTGGGAGGATTCTGGAATGCGTTCATGGTAACTTCCTGGCATGGGTGGCTGAGGAACGGAAGAGAGGACATACTGTCCTGGACCACGTACTTACAAACGAGGGAGAACTGGTTGGAGATGTGAAGGCTGGGGAGAAGTCTTGGCTACAGTGACTGTGAGATGGTGGAGTTGAGGATCCTGAGAGAAGAAGCAAGGCAAAATGGAATCACAGCCACGGGCTTCGGAGGAGACAGCTTTGACCTGTTTAGGCCAAAATCTGCTTGGAAGCATACCATGGCATGGGATACAGTGCTGGAATGAAGAGGGGTCTAGGAGAGCTCAAGATTTATCTGTCTTCTCTTGCAGGAATTTACATTGTTGTAAATCTTCATATTAAGATTGCTAGGGAATGAATATTTTCATTATTGTTTAGAATATGCAGCAGCCAGAATCTAGTCAGGAGGTGGGAACTCATCGTTGTGCAGCTCTGGCTTTCAAACGTCTTTATTCAGCAATTCCTTATGCTTGGTGACTCCATACTTGACATTGAAAGGGCTCAGTGCTGCTTCCTGTGACAGCCTCTCCAGATGCTCTTACAGAAAGTGGCTTGCTTGTTGATGAATGGTTGCTAAACTTTTACTTTCTCCATGCCTGTTTAAATCTTTGGCTTTCAACTTACACTGCCATGCTTGTACAGGACAATACCACCTATTTTAGGATGATGCCACTGTGTTGCGGTGCTTCACTTCAGACCATGCTTTGCTGTTTTTACCTCCCAGTGGTAATCCACGGCCTTGTCAGCGATTCCCATTGCTGGTGTAAGGAGAAGGTGTTTTGCAAGGTGATGTTTTTGGTGGGTGTTTTCCTAGAAGGTGGTACAGGTGAGTTGCTACTTTGGGATACCTGAGAATGGATAGGAAGAACCTGGGTAGATGCCAGCATTTAAATATAGGGAAATGAAGTTGTGTGCTTAGATGAGCATGGATGTGTGTGGGAACACAGATGGCGTGGGAGGAAAGGCCTGCACAATAACACAATGCTAAAGCCACTGGATTTAAACAGATGAAACTCCCTACCTTTCAATGCGCTGGCATTTAAGGGGTTGTCATATGTGTGCAACTTTTTAATTAGAGGCATCTAGACCTCGACCACCTTGTCTGGGTATCAGTGTTGTCTGCTGGGGAGAGATTCTGGTACGTGCTTGACTTTGTGCAGCTTGGTAAGAGTTCATAGGCTGGTCAAGTGACTGCTATGTGGTCTCTGAACATATATTTGGATAGTGTAATGCTTATTACCTTTAAGCCTTTAATTCAATATAACTCTCTTAAGAGGTGGGTTTTAAAAATTAACAACTGTCATATACTGATCAGACTGTTTAAAAAAAGTCTAATAAAGTTTGAATTGGAAGTCAGATTAGCAGCAACCTTGTTCAGGTGCTCAAGCCTTGGAATAAAGGTGCACTGTTCACTGCAAATGAGAAGTGTGATCCCCTCAACAAAAAGGGCACAGAAATATACAGTGTCACTTAAAATGCGTAGAGGTGTACCTTTTTGCACTGATTCTTTTGAGAGACTATGGTAGCTTTAAAACCACATCTTACCTGCTTGCTGTTTGATCTTCTCTTTCTCAGAGTAGACAGAATAGCTTCAGACCTCGCCAGGCTCTGTAACTGACAGTGAGTGGGGTCCCTGTTTAATGCATTGTTTAGAGCTTAATTTTCCCCCTGTTCTTCAGGGAGTTGGTGTCTCTGAGAAAATAATTGTGTGTTTGATGAGGACAGAAACTTTATTGCAGTGGTCCAACAAGCTGAATACAATTGTGACACTATACGAGAGACTTCAAGCAAATGGGCCATTCAGAAACCTTACGTAACCATCGCGGGTTTGGGTTTCCAGCAGATTTGAGTTTGCCTTTTTGATTATCATCTGATGTGAGAGCAGGCTTAGAGTTTCAAGTTCACAATAAGCCTATTCAGAATGACTCTTTTATTAGCTTGAACAGTATCTACAGAGCTCTCTTCATCTTTGGCTTTACTAAAAGAATCTATTTAAACTTAACCACCAAGCAGGGATCCTGGAATTATAAGCGGAGTATCATTTTGTTTTGATAAGCTTGTCCATTACTTTAGGCTCTATCTGGAGTTCTTAAATGACCCTGTTTATCTCTTCTGCATTGTGGAACTTTTAGTACTGTGCCATGCAACTTGCTTATTTTTTAAGACTTCAGATTACTTTTAACCCATTTACTGGGTTAAAAACTTTGGCATTGGGCCTTCCTGCCACAGAGTCTGTCTGAAGCTGCAGGTATTAAATATAGATTTTGTGTTGTATTAAAAGTATAGCCTTTTTCCCTACCCTCATGTGCAGTTCAGCATAACAGGAAGGACAGAATGAAGTGCTGACAGGTGGGAAAAGGTTAAAGTTAGAAGAGAGCAGGTATTTTCTGTGTGTTTTAAAGGGAAAGCTGAGGATTTGCAAGTTTGGGATCCTGTTTGGATTTTTTTAACCTTTCCAGAAACCCAGAAAGCAAGCTGGCTTTGTTCTCCTGCTTTCTTCTGGTAGACTCAAGTCTTTCCTGTTGATTGTGGGATCCACTGTTTTTATTCTCCCATGTCCTTTTGGCTCCCAGGCTGGTGGACTTC